TTCAGATACGAATAAGCGACATGACTCAGGTAATTTAAGGTCCATGAGCTTGATAAAAAATAGAGACTTCTTGGAAGTCATGCATACGCACCTAATTGTGAAATTCGTAGAATAAGTCCGAACTTTATAAAAAAAATTTGAAAATTCTGGGAACCATGGTTATGCCAGAAAAACAACAACGAAAATGGAATCAATCGAAATTTTACTTCAGAAGTATATAATAATTTTGAAGGATAAAATATGAATTTATTAAAAGGAGATATGATATGATATTACGTGATAAAAAACTGTAAAAAATGAGTGAAATCCATAATTAATATAACTGAATAAAACTACCACTGCATGTAGAGGGAGCAGCAATATTTTTAATACGACCGGGAATCCAAAGTAAAATTCAGAGGGGCTTTGTTCCTATACTCTGTTCCTATACCTTCACATGTTTTCAGTAACAGAAACAAAACCGTCAAAGACCTAAAGGTAGATGGAATGAGATGAACAACGGCCAGAGATGCTGAAGTGAGGTATAGGAGCTAGCAGAAAAGCCACATGCCCAACAGAGCCACGTGGATAGAAGTCGTTAAAGAAATTGCCAGTCATCTTCTGATTCATAACCGGGCAACTGGAACATTTCAGCGATCAACATTAAAAAGACATCAAAGTTCTTCTATAATGTTCCGCTCCATTAGCCCTATAGTGCCCATTAAGCCAATGGATATCAATAGAGCAAGTCTCAATTCCCTGCAAAAACTATCCCAGAAACGATGAGAATAGATTTCATTTATAGTGATTTTGAAGAGTTTTCAATGTCGGTGAGCCAGCCATTATGGATCTGATATGCATTCATTGGGTCGATCTGGTTTTTTAAGCCCAAGGATATCTGATTCAAAAACACAATTTTTTCAAAATTCTGATATTTTTATTGATCACGCCCAATTTCAATTTTGCTTGACTATCCATGCCTTTTTAGCCGAAAAGTCATGAACTGATTTGTTTCTGATTGCTAAATAAGTCGCGGTTCTGACTCGAGCTTTACTCTTACACTAACAAGATTCCACGCACCTTTCCTCCGTTCTTCATGAGATAGAAAATTGCTATATATTTCTAACTCTCATCTAATTGTAAGAGAAACAATATACGGAAACTATTGATGAACTCGAGGAAGAGCTTCTCTCCAGTACGTAACTGGAATACATTATTATTGCAGAGAGTTGGGTCGACCTCTATTAGGAAGTACCCAAAACCTTTTCACCTTTAGTGCCTTCGGGGTGAGGTGTCTTCTCCCCGGAAATCGCGCCGCGCTCGCCGCTCCCGACCGCGCGTACCGTACTACGAAGCAAAAGGTTTCAAAAGGTGTCAAAAGGTGTCAGTTCTCACTGAAAGGATACGTAGCCGCAGTGGAATCACTGCCGTTTGTTATGCAATTTCTGGAAGAAATACGGCCAAAGTGTTTCCAGCACAATGTCTTTTTAAAAAGGAGAACATGAGTTTACGAAAAGTACCCCTAACGTCATTCACACTGATTCTGAGCGGTGAGACGGCTCGAATCGATAGTTCTGGGAAGACTCAATCAACTTAAAGTGACAATTGGTTCACTTAGACATCTTAGACTACTTTGAACTATTCTTGTTTATTCGCCGCAAGTATCGGTTTTAGAGGCCTACCTCATTACTCGTCACGGCGGAGAGCCGGGAAAGGAAAGCACAAAAAATTTCAGGGGGTTAGAAAAAAAAACGATGAATTTCGAAGATTTCCGTTTCCGGAGAAAGCGAAATCGGTAGCCAGGAGAGGAGAGGGAGACTGGAACAACGAAAGCCATTGTCATCTCTAAGAGAAAGGAGAAGAAGCAATGCATGATGCAGCTAACAATAGTAGGATTAAGTAAAGAAATTCAGAGAACTTCCGCGCTTCTGAGACCTTCTATATAGGGCTCTAACGCTGGAGCTGACGTTAAAGGGTGAACTACTCAAAAATTGGTAATGCAGTAGCTTCCTTACTAGGTATTGCTCTCGGAAGCAGAAGTACCAAAGAAAAGCAATTTCTGTTCGCTGAATGAGTTTTATGGACCATAAGTATGGATTATGATGGTTATTAAAATTCCCTATGAGCAGACCAGAAGCCGGAAAGTTATGAGGCGAGGAAAACCATTTTTCGGTGTATGGCTTTATGGCATTAAGGTCGTAAATGAACACGCTGAGATAGAAATGTATAAGCTAGCAAGAAGAGTATCTGATATGAACCATGAACAGCAGGCTATTCACTAATTCACCTTGATATGACAATTATATCGCAAATTTGGGTAAGTGGTATGAGGGCGAAGGTGACATACTGACAAGTGGTGCACTATCTCACACTCACACACATGCTACGACAATCGAACCGCAGATCGATATCCACCCAGGGCTAGTTAATTGCTATCAGATTTGCCTGAGAGGAAGAAAGCACTGACATGTACATCAGCTGGCCCCTGGAAGTGATTTTATACACACACATGCTACGACAATCGAACCGCAGATCGATATCCACCCAGGGCTAGTTAATTGCTATCAGATTTGCCTGAGAGGAAGAAAGCACTGACTTGTACATCAGCTGGCCCCTGGAAGTGATTTTATAAGCCGCTTACGCATTCATACTGCCTCTACGATTGTGAATGGTCGTCGAATGCGGGGCCCCATCTCAAGTGATCTCATGTCCAAAAGATTATAAAGCGGATCACAATTTTGATAGAAACTGCTGAAGTTAGAAATATCAAAGGAAGGACTTGGTATGAGTGATGCCCTCTAGGTAATTTACCATAATAGGACACTTAGTAAAGCCCGATTTTGTACAGATGTGGTAAAACAGTTAGCTTACGGTCACAGCTTTTTGAACGAATTTTCTTCAACTAGCTCAAGAAATATTGATCAGTGAATATGGCCCATTGGGTAAGATTCTTGTACGCGCCACACCTCCGACTACAATCAAAGTCGTTCATGCAGTAGTTAAAAGAATAAAATGCTCATACCAAAGTTAAGCAAAGGATATTTCCATTTTCCGCCTCGAGCCTAACAATGACCTAGCACTGAAATGATGAATATCTTAGCTGGCAGTAAAAGAAAACGGGCCAAAGGTAACATGCCTATGTGGTCGAATCCAATCGATTTTGATATTATCGATCCCAGCGGTTCCCGTATAATGCAGGGTAAATCACAATTTTTCAAAAAAATCCTACATTTACTTCATATCGAATGTAACCATCTGTTTTCAGCCAGTCTTTACCCAGACGGTATGACATTAAACGAAGGAAAGCGAAAAATTTGCGATATAACGCTAGCAAACGACGAGGATTCGCTTAATTTCATCGCGAAAATTACACATCCAGTAACGGGTAACGATTTTGAAAATTGATCAAAACGTTTAAGTAAATAAACAAACAAATAAATACATTAGGCTCAATAAGTTTACTAGCAGTATTGTTGGCCATTTAGGAGTGAGAAATGACGTTTTAGTTCAGGTATGACGGTATATGAGATGCAAGAAATCGCCGACATTATCACCATACAGTCATATACGGACGACATGAATGGGTGACAGATTTTATTCGATTAATTTAATGAAATTACATTTTCATGCCTACGCATGGCAATCCTGGAATATGACAAATTTTTTTTTGTTTCGAAAAAAATCCAGAAGATCCCTCACGGGTATGAGTCAGGATGTGCCTGGCGGCCGCTTCATCGAGCTAGGTCACGGCCTGCACGCCGAGCTTGGCCAGTTCGGTCAGGACCTCTTTTCTACCGCATAGCCATTCAGCTTCCATGAAACTACCATGGTGACACTCCGTTGCCGACACCCATCAGCAACGGGAGGAACCTTTCAAAGGGAAAATGCGCTAGTAGGAAAACAGTGTGGGCAGCATGGTAGAAAGCCGGGGAATCTGGGCCATCCGCCACGTATTCCACGTCCTAAGTCCTACCAAACTACTTAAAGAGGAAAATCAATTTAGTAGGAAGCGTTACATGAGCCAGCTGAGAGGTGGGCGAAGACAAACAGGTGTACTGGTGAGACTCTAGTAAAAGTACATAGCCATTGAGAAAAATTATACCTGGCAACCAGCGGTCTCTATTATAACCACTTCCTTATACGCCTATATGAACACTTTGAAGTGTACTTCAACGGGTAACCTAAGGAAATGCACTGAAAAAATGCTACTATCACTTACTATTTCGTTGACGCCCTAATGGGAAACTTTTACAGCACCCGAATTGAAGCAATTCGTCCCACATTGCTCAGTCTATTGTTCACCTGTGGATGTACCTTCACACGGAAAAAATGGAATTTGATCTCTCAAGACATTGTTACAGCAATTATTGAGCCAAAATCGTCATTTTTCGAAGAGAACTCCGTAAAAGTGAGTTGCCATTTCTTTGACGTTGATTTTTTCCGAACATTTTTGGTGAAGAGGCTCTTTTGCCCCCTTGGGCCGTACCACCGCTCAATGTCGCCTCCACCATTTTATGCCAACCCCATTTTTAATTCGATTTCACGCAGAAAAAGGGAAGTGGTGCATGAAAAGTGTGGTAAAAAGTCATTGGAGAAGTGAGACGGCTGTGGGGCGACTCTCACAGTTCTTAGCAAAACTTTCGATTCCGTAAGGGAAGCAAGTGTGTGGCGCATACTCAAGTAATCAATCGACGTTTCATCTCTGAAAACCATGCCGAGTCATTCGTCGGCTGGCGTGTGATGTTTGATGAACCTTACTTTCTCTATATATTGCTTCTTAGATAATCAATTCCAATTCTCCTACATCCCTTCGAGAAATACCGGCTTAATTCGTATTATTTTCCAACTTTTCTATGATTCCCATCATGTTTCCCTATTATCGAATTATTTAAGAATTTCTTGGAACCTCAGAAGCCGGCGTTTCTTAAATCAACAAAGACTTCCATCACTTTTTATCCCTTTTCCAATTCAGGCTACGCCTACCATCTCGAGGCTACGGTTTGGGGTCCAAAGAATGCCGCCCTCTCCCTATCCCCCAACCCCACTCCTCTCAGTAATCTCGCCGAATATGGAATTGGCTTCTCATAGAGTAACTGTGAAATCCAATCCAACAAGTGCAACCCACTCAAAACGCCGTTTATAGTTTGTTCAAGCGAGTCCGCAATTATAGCGTACGGTACACCTAGCGACGCCATTGAGAGTCCTTTTATACTGATTTTGTTTCCACGAAAAAAAAAGGCACATGACTACTTCATCCGCTGATCACGACGGATTAGGGATCACTACAGCATTCAAACATGTATGAAATGACTTCGAAATGAAAGTTTTGAAGCAATAAAAGAAAACAAGAAGAAAAGTTTTGTGCGACTGCTTCATACTAGCGTGCTTTTGTTAGTGAAATTCAGAAAACATCAAGCAACAGATGTGTAGTAGTAGTATTAACTGAAAGCAGAATCACAATGAGAGTTTGGAATCGTATTAAGTCTTCCTTTTCATCCCAAATGGAGAAAAGCTACGGTCTGCAGTTGCTGTTCAACCATTACCCAATCATTATTGCACATATCGTCGAGGGATCAAATCTCGATACTTTGAAGTGGCTTATTCGATCAACCGACGACTGCTACATTCGACCCAGAGGTTGAAAATAGTGACTTCTGTACCCAGATCGGCCAGATCAATCCTTCGATACCTCTCGAGAATGTGAAGACAGGCTAGTTTGCATACTCCAATTTGACCCCGGTACTTATCGCCTGATCCAGAAAAGCGCTTCGTAGAACCGGGATCCAATTTACCCTAACTCTTCCCTAACAATTCCATATATGACTCGATCCATGAACAAGGTTGAAAAACCAACTTTGCTGTTTGCCCAACGGCAAAGGCGGAGGAGACCATGCGGGAAGATTAATCGTTGCAAGAAAATGATGGATGTTGGAAACTGGAAAACTTTCATGTCCAAATGCGACGAAAAGGGTGCCAAATCTGTTTTCTTCTTCTGTCATAGGCAAAACAGTTCTCCAGAGACCTTTAGACGGCCGGAAAAGAGCCATGGCTTTAGAGGAAAATGTTTCTATGAAAATAAAAGAGGAAGCATGAGGACACGCCGTGCATTTTTTCCTCATTTCTCATAGGTTGTCAGTTTTGATTTGCACGACTGAAAATTTGAGTGAAGTCGAAGTTTACTGGATCTGCCACCAAGAGCTCCATGAAGTGTTGATGCCGTAGAATCCTTTTTTCCATTATCAAAAAGTTGCATCGACTAGTGAAGATTAGGTCATACGGAATTACCTAGCAAAATTAATGTGGACAATGATTTCCCTGTAGAAAGGGACTCATTCAGGCATGTAATGGGATCGAACCTGTCAATCCGGTATGGGATGGGTCCCCTTGCCCCTGCACAGCCCACCCATCGAGAATAATTCCTTCTATTTCAGATGGAATGGGTGACAAGCAGCGAGAATGAGCTTCGAGTCGTCGCCGTGACTTTCGGTTTGGCACTGATGGTTCGCGAAGCATTCCCATCTCTAATTCATATACTAAAAGAATTCCGTACACGACATGCATGACATCGAGCTTCGCTTAAACTCCTATCACTACAATGGTATAGCAATTACTGTGATTTTTGTGCATATCGATTTGTTTCTTCTTGCTTTTACAGCCGAAGTTGTATGTTTGTTTGACCATATTGAGGCGCTCAAGTATGTTGTGGCGCATGAAAACTAAGTGGGCCCGTTGAAGCACTCACTTTTCAGCGATAGAACGAGAGGCGGTGATGAGTGTAGGGCCGAAGGTCAAACTTCCAACGGCTTCAAATACACCCGACCTGATGTCTTTGTTCTTTGGAAACTCCGAGAATAAAAAACGTAGGGAATACCCCTCCCAAAGAAATGAGTGGAAAAGCAATCTCGTCTCATAAAAGTGGTTCCCTGAAGAAAATCTGAGTCAGAAGAGATTAGAATTGGCATTTTGCGGTTTAGAATTGGGAATTAGCAGATGCCAAGTTCCGTTTTCCAGAATTCCTCTCCCTTCCCAATCCCACAACCGATATTCTTCCTCCAAGCATTTATCACTCGCTCTCGCTCTAGTTATCTTTGCCCTCATATCATTTGTAATACTTTAAGATTTCTACATCATATGTGATAACAGGAATGATAATGTGACTTCCTACTATATAAGCATTTAAGTTCCTGAGCCATCTAGTTGGATACCTTCTCAAAAGCCATTAACAACTCCTTGATATTCCACCAAGCGACATCAATCACAGAGAAATTATGTCATAAGAAATTATTCTACTTCACTGTTCAAATTATAAACGCGCATATCAACTTTTGTTGATTAGCGAGATTGAACGCGTGCGGTCGCGATGCGTCTACTGACCGCCGCAACGCGACCGCACCGCTTATTCGGGAATAGACTGCAATGTACGTAATCAATTTTTGGTCCCATGTATAGAATATATTCGTCGTTTTTGTTACCATGTGACCAAGGGTTTGATAAATAAAACTTATAAACATTCGTAATGTAACTGACCTGTTGGAGAAATTGTGTAATTGATGATTTCATGATAACGACTAAAGGATTTGTTTTTTCCACGAAAAATGGCAGAACAGGAAGGAAGTTGCTGAAAAAGGGAAAGAAAACAGATGAATCAGGGAAACAATCAGAAACACTGTGAATTAAAGAGCCGATATGAGCAAACTGTGTCGTGTATGGCAACAATGCCGCGGGCTGTCGCGTTGTGGCATCTTAGAATAAACTTTAGTTAAAGTGAAGAATGCCCAATTCCGAGATTTTTTTCAATGATGATATGAGATTTAGGCTGGAATTTTTTNTTTTTTCAAGGACCAAAGGTTCAAGCATGACATTTTGGCATAGATGACAGCTTGTGTTCAAACCTCCAGAAATAGGATAAACGATAACCATTATAGAGGCGGATCGTCTAACTACCATTTTAGCCGTTCCTGCCGATGAGGGCGGACATTAGATCCGGTTTTAGCCACGCAAACTCGTCAGACAGACTTGCCTCCTATCTTTAGAAATGGCCATCTCTGGTTTCCATATAAGTGGCACGTCTCGCAAGAAAATTATGCGCATTCGTCATTAGAGCGTAGAAAAAACCGGACCTTGCAACATATTTCCATCCAGCAACCCCTGATTTTCTGGGTAAAGCACTCGGTGTAGTAAAGTCATTACTTAATCTCCGAATTCCAATGCTACATAGGTCTCTGTGTTAGTGCAAACTTTTCTTATTCAATGTCTCCATTGTTGATTTGCTCGATAAAACTCCCCGATTCATATTGACTCAAGGTCTGATTAACTGGGAAAAAGAAAATCCTATCGAGTAGGATCGAAAAAGGTAATCCCATTCCGGTTGGTAACTTTTCAAAGAGGAATGCAATATTTCGTCACCAGCCAGCGGGCCATCTCCGGCGACCTGGGCAAACAAGCGGAAGGAAGTCCTCTACTGGCTAGATGCCAAGAATCTACCAACTCCAGGCGAAGTCCAGTCGTGCGTGTTGACAAAAGGGCTGATAGTTTTCACCGAGTATACCCGTGCAGGAATCGAAAGGAATTGGAGCGGAAAATGCCGAGACAACGTCGTAATGAACGTCTGCGTTGAACTGTAGTGCAGAAATAAATGTCAGAAAATGATGGGAGGATCGTGAAAAACCCTCACGACTCTGGAGGCAATAAAGAACATAATTGGGCGGAAACGTACTTGTTATATAAAAACTCTACTACAACTCAAAAGCATTGGCTATGAGGGTTTCCATGGAACAATATGAGTGGAAGTGGGAAACTTCCAACCAGTGATGGTAATTGGGTCCTCTTAAGGGGGTGGAGTTTTCTGACCTTTCAAGTGTTTCTCTGCTGGATGCAAAACCCGAGAGGATTGCTGAAGATTGAGGCATTTGTAGGCCAGGAAGAGATGTACAAAGGATTACTTGAATCCCAAAAATACAAGTAAAGAAGAATTCAGAACGGGCAGGCTGGCTGTTCGCAAGGTCCCCCCTCCCCCTCAAAGGCTCAGAATTTCCTCTATCATCTCAATTACGCTGGACTGAGTGGCTTACAAGTTTCTTTGTCTCTGAGTGCGTTTTGAAGAACATCCTTGGTTCTTGTCCCTACTCGCTATTCCCGTGTGCCACCGACGAGCATGCCCTGGAGTGATTCGTCAGCTAAGAAAGCCCAGATGAAAGTCGAGAAATGGAAAGTGAGAGAGTGAAAGGCGAGAGTGCGCTGACAAGTTCGCTCCAAGGGAGCGTGAGCGGTAGTGGTGTATGTGTGTGTTTGGAGGACGGGCGCGCAGTCACAATTAAGAGAAACGGCCACCCCCATGAAGGGACCACCCGTCTCGGTCACGCGGGTCGCAATTCAATTTAGGAAGCTACCCCATTCGGCTTGTCGTCCGGATAGGTTTGAAGCCAATCCGAGAAGAAACCTAGTCGTACGCATTGGCATTTCCTATGCATGACATCCAAACCGCCCCGTCATTGATGCCAGCTGCTTAACCGATGCCGCCTCAGCCGCCTAACGACTGGATATCATTTCCATTTCCGGCAAGATATGCGCTCAACGACTGCTCGGCAGCACAACCCCTAACAAACGGCAAAATCAACGCCTCTCGCGGCTCGTCTCAACACTTCAAAGCAACATAATCATCGCGATGATCACATGGGAGTTTCTTAGCGGATACGGAGAGGAGTACGTGACCCAATGCCGTTCCACTACATTTCGAATCTCTAGAGGAATCTACAGAGACGCGAGAATGCCTCTAATCACTTCAGAGTTCACAAAAAGCTTCATTTCATTTTGAGATGACTTTCATACGACTCTGGAGCGTAGTTCTTCACCACCATTGACCTAGAGTACTAATCCAAACCCATGAGGTCCCATGTCAGAGATAATCATAGAATTGTGTGCCGACAGGGTCTTTTGAACTTATCATAACTATCATAGAATTGGAGCTTATCAACACGGAACATACCTGACCTGTTCTGGCCACATCTGCATGATCACATCTATTTCACTAGCTCAATTCCCGTTAGTGGGTACTCAGGTAGTAGTGGTATGGTGGCTGAAAATGAGCTGCCAACGGTTATGTATGCCGTCAAAGTTGGAAAGACAAAGGAGAATAGTGTTCCATTCTGTGTTGTACTACATGAGCCAACGTGCGAGAATCCATGGATAAGTCAAGGGCATGGCGCATACATTAGGCTGTCCTCAATTTTGTTTTTGAGCCTATAGTAGATTAGTCGCGTGGACGAAGGATCAAGACATTTCCAATATCACCATCTCTCCTTTCTCACCTGTTCTGATGCGGATTGCTGCTATTTGATTTTTGGATCATTTCAGTGAATTCTTCCTCACTGTTCATAGTCATATGAAGGTCCCACACAGAAGCCTCACACGATTACCATACCTGGCCGGAACGATATCCATGGCCTTCCTGCAACCGCAGGAAGGCATGGTGGGCCCACACTTTCCCTACCCGCGATATAGCATGGTGGGTATGCTTCTATTCTTGAAGTTAGTCCACGAACGATTACGGATTACGGACAATCCAACAGTGAATGAAAGGTTGACGGGCTAAATACAGAACCTGATCCGTAGATCTTGCAGGTGGCCTAAAGACAGATAACAGGCTATAATAACCCGCTTAACGTGTATTGTCGTCTTTGACAGCTCCAAGCTTCAAAATTTCGGCTCAGAAATCGGGAATTTGCTTGTAACGACGGAAATTACGAAATTTGGAGATCACTCTATGAGTGATCTGGGATGCAGTTCGGTGATGCCAAGTGTGCCCAGTACCACACGCATGGTCTGAGGATCGAATCCCGGAATGATGGTCGCCCAGGGCTTCCATCCGGCGTCGGATTATTGATAACAGATTCATCTGGGAAGATAAAAATACTGGCTTGTACATCTGTTAGCAGCCGCAATTATTTGTATTGGCCACATACGCATCCAAATCAGCCACTACGTTTTGAACGGGAGTCGAATGCAGGGCGCACCCAACAAAAGGATTGTCTCGTGTCAAAACATTTCAAAACTTTTGAACTAACCTGAAACAGGTAACACTCTGATATATCCAGAGGAGTTCAATACTTAGTCCACTCTATAGAGTGTTTCCCACACGTCCTCTGGCACAGTTAGCGATAAAAGTGGTATCTGAGGTGTTCTCCTAGCACGCCCATGTGATTCACAAGGAAGGCTATCAAACTAAGCTGGCCAACATATACGTGTTATAATGGCTTCATTAGGGCTGTCACAATTTACCATGAAGCGCTAAGACGCTGGCGAATAGTACTTCCATGTGGGAAGCTCAGACGACTACAGACATAGTACGTAATTTCGTACAACCCCCTTCCTTGTTTCTTTTTTGAAGCCTTTTTTGAATATTCCTCGGAATCTGTCAGTTATTGCACTTTCTGCTTTTCTTTATTCCCAGCGCAACTTCCATTACTTCCTTTTGTCCAAGCAAAGGACTTTTAATCAACCAGCTGGGAGGGAGTGCCGTACTTCACAGGTCATTGTTAGGTTCCAGATCGTGAATGTGAGAATTGCCCATATTTCAAGGTGAAATCCTTCGATGGCTACCGGAAATGAACTCTCATCCCACTCACATCATTTCGGGAATGAAAAATGAATGTTGTCATTCCCAGCTGCAAGACCAGATACGATGCCAATCAGCAGAAAAGAATTGCACTTTGGAAGACGTTGCTTCACGATGGCGAATCCATAGCAGAGTCCATAAAAAAACTTTCCTGAAAAGGTTTTTAGTGACAGCTGCAGCGTATGGGTAGCCGAATTACAAAATGGAATTTCCAAATCACTATGGATGCTCCTTCCGCTGACTTTATGAGAAGCCTCGATTTTTCCAGAACACTCCTACAAATATTTTTCCTTCTCGCAAGAGCGGATTGGGTCGCCGGGAACTGGGCGATCACTAACTTGGTAACACCTCCGATTTCGGGTAGCGAGACTAAACCCTGTAGTTTCGAACTTCCAAGATAGCTCCACGGATAGCCGGCTTATATTACGGATGAATCTCAGAATTCCTCTGAAATTCGTGAAATATTAATCCAGTATCTAGCTTCCCCTTCCAGTTGTTTCCTGAACGCTGCCGAAAATTCCGAGACTCGTGCTTACTATTATTCACGACCATGATATTGATAAGAATGATCGAGTTCCCTTGATAGTTAAAGGCACAGTTCACGATAATTCAAGTGGCGGGAAAACCAAAGTTTTTCCGCCCTTCGATCGATGTCACGTCAGACGAGTGTCGAGACAATACAGATTGCAACTATTCGTTCTAGGACCCACACACAATCAGCTGATCGCCTAGTGTAAGGTGAGCTTTTCTCCCATTCTTTTTTCTTCTGTTATTCTTTTTTCTGCCGCGATCCCTTATTTATTTTCCTGCTCCTAGAGGCTGAAAAAGGTGAGCTACTTTTGCTGTTACTAGGGGTTTTTTTGTTTACTTATGCTTATAAGTGAATAATTTTTTT